GGAAGGGACAGACACAGCAACAATATAATCGGGTATTTAGGAAAAAAAACCCCACTGTCGGCTTTTTTAAGGTGAGAACAGAACAGAGGTTCAGGCCCAAGCCTCTGTTCCAAAGCCAACACTAAACCTGGAGCTTTGGGACCCCCCAGCCCCAGGATACTCACAGGCCCCGGTAGCCCAGGCTGAGGACACGGGCAGGCTCCGGATGGCCGAGGTCAGCATGGAACTCATCCTGGGCTCTGCAGAAAGGCTGCTCTCAGTCCAACCTGGCCTGCCTGGAGCAGTTCCAAGGGAAGCGACCTGCCTGCCTCACAACGAGCCAGAAAAGTGGGGAGAAGACACTCCAAGGGCAGCAGCAGCAGCAGCAGCAGAGGAGGAATCGCTTCCCACCGCGCTCCGCGAGCGGAATCCGAGCAGGAGGAGCCTGGCTTGTGACTGAGGCTGCAAATGTGCCTGTGAATAAATACTGCCCAGTGAATAAATACTGCCCAGTGAGCTTCTCAGTTCCCCTCCCAGCCGGAAAATTGTCTCGGTGCCCAGCCGGCCCCGCCGCCAGCACGGCCCTCCTGACGCACTGCCCTTGGCACCACGTCACACCCCTGCCCCTCTGCCCCTCGTGGCAGCCCCTGATGCCAACCTCAGAGTATCTGCTGTGTGTCACTGCCCTTGGCACCACGTCACACCCCTGCCCCTCGTGGCACTGCCCTTGGCACCAGGTCACACCCCTGCCCCTCGTGGCAGCCCCCGATGCCAACCTCAGAGTATCTGCTGCGTATCCCCACGGAGAACAGAACAAGCCAACACCCTCCACCCCCAAAATTCCACCACGGCCTTCCCAAAGTTCATTCCAAACTCAGGTTTCCCCCTAAACGAACCCTCCTCTGTGTATTTCATCGCCCAGGGCACAAAATGCTCATCGCAGCTCCAGTTCTTTGCCTTCTCCATGGCAACGTTCGCCTCCCTCAGTCCCGTTTTTGGGGTTCAAATCCCAGCACTCCCTCCCACAAACACACAGGTTTTCAACAGAGGGGCACAGGAACGCCTGTATTCCCAAACTCAGCCCACTGCAGGTCTCCACAGCTCCTCAGAACTCAGCACAAGCTGACAGTCCACACCTGGAATGTGCCACGCAGCATTCCTCACTTCCCAGCCCACAAACCAAACCCAGGCTCCTCCTGTCAATAAAGGTCCCGAAAATTGACCTTTTTGTGGCAGCCTGCTCTTCCTCCATCTGTGCAGAGCTCCCTCCCCTCACCTCATTGAGGTTTTTCCCTAAATCTGCCCTGCCCAGCTGACACAAGTTCCTGCCCATTACCCAAACCTGCCCACGCTGCACAGCCACCTCTTCCCAACGTACCCACTGTCTCTGCCCCCCAAAACGTGCCCACCCTCCCACTTTTGGCAGCCAGTGCTCCCCTGGCACCCCCGGCTCAGCCCTGCACACAAATCCCTCCAGGCAAAGCTCCTTCCAGAGCCTGCAGGATCTGCCTCACTCCCGCAGCAGGAGCTGGACTCCATGATCCTGTGGGTCCCTTCCAGCTCGGGATATTCCACAACTCTGTGAACAGCCCGTCCTCCCTTCCCTCTCTCCACACAAGCCTGACCCTGCACACGCCGCAGCACCTTCACACCCCACCACCACACCCCCACCACCCCGGGACTCACAGCACACCCCTACA